CCGTGTGTGCCTGCACCGTGTGTGCCTGCACCGTGTGTGCCTGCACCGTGTGTGCCTGCATGGATGCCTCAGCACCGTGTGTGCCTGCACCGAGTGTATGCCTGGTGCCTGCAGAGGCCAGAAGAGAATATTAAGCTCTCCTGGAACTGCCCTTAGAGATGGTTGTGAGTTTCATGTAGGTGCTGGGAGTCGGGCTAGCATCTTCTGGAAGAGCAGCAGCCTTTGATTTCTTTCGTGGCCTCCTTGGAGAGACACAGCTGCAGTTTGCATGTCTAACAAGCTGCCGGGGCTAAGCTAATAACTAATGTGGTAAAGTCTAGACGAGGTAAAATCACAGACTCTTGTTCAGATCGGTGAGTTCATTGAATACCTGTGGGCGTGGGCAAAAAAACCAAAAAACAAAAAACAAAACAAAGAAACCTCTGTGAGCTTTATTCTTCTGCAGAGCAGAAAATAACCTAGCTTAGACGTCCTTATTGTGTGGAGACTACTCAATTCAGTGATTGTTACTGCCTCACGGAGTCCTCACACACACTGGATGTGGACGATGCTGACGGAATCCTCAGGTGTAGTTGAGCCACAGTCCAAAAGGTCATGCGCATGCGTCCTTGCCATGGGGCGTTGTGCCGGAGACCCCACGTGCTCCAGAGTGCTGGAAAGAGATGCTCTGCAGCCGATCTCTGTCTCCTTTGTCTCTGGAACCCGGCTGTTCTGTTTGTAACTTTTCTTTCTGATCCTTATCAGATCCAGATGAAAAAAGGAACGTGGAGCTGAAGATGGATCAGGCTTTGCTGCTCATCCACAACGAACTGTTGGGAATAAGCCTGACTGTATATTGGAAATCTGAATACTGTTACCAAGTACGTATTGCATGTGTCTTCAGCATTTGCCCTAGGCTTGTCAGATACATTCTTTTAATGACCTCAGACCTAAGCCATTTCTTGTTCCCTTCGCATCTACAGTTAAGGAAATAGTTTATAATAAAAAACTAGATAGAATGTGGTCAGGGGAGAACGCTTGGCCAAGACTGAAGGATGTCTCTTACCCTTTTTTATTTTTTTATTTTTATTTTTTATTTATAATCCAGCACTCGGGAGACAGAGCCAGGTGGATCCCTGTGAGTTCAAGGCCAGCCTGCTCTACAAAGAAGGTTCTAGGACAGAGCTACACAGAGAAACCCTATCTCAAGCAAAAAAACAATAGAATGCTAGATTTAGTGGTAGGCTGTATTTATTAACTCGTGAAAAGTAAATCTGTGAACAATAGATATGAATACCTTGTTCGGTTTCATCATGGATGGCAGTCATTACTTTAATATAAATTAGGTAAGGTTTATCCAAAAAACTTCACTTTTAAGTTTTTTAAAGTATGAAGGAAAAGTTAGGATTTTTTTTTCTTAGCTATTATTTTCTCCCACAACTGAGAGACTTTCAAAACCTCTAACAGGAGTAGAGGTGTAACTGATGAAAAAGCATCTTCCTAACAGTACAAGGCCCTGGCTTTGACCCCCAGCACTGCCAAATAACAGCAACAATAATAATACCAGCAAACACCCTGACACCATGCCTGTTCGGCTTTTGTCTTACCAGTGCACCTTCCAGCCTCTGGCGAACGTCTCTCATGGTGGAAAACCTGCAAAGCCAAGCGTTGCAGCTGTCTCTGTGAGCACCCAGCATGGGTCCATCCTGCAGGTTAACTCTACCTTGGAAGAGAGAGCAGGTTGCAGGTCTGTGGCTGCTCCTCATGGTCTAACTCAAGTTTGCTCTTTTTCCTACTAGGTTTTCATTTTTCTTAATCTTCCTGATTCATATATAAGATTTCATGACGTTCTTTGCTGATGGTGTTAGCAATGTCTAGGTCTGGTTCTCAACCTTCCTAATGGTGCAGGCCTTTAATAACAGTTCCTCATGTTGTGGTGACCCCAACCATAAAATTATATTTGTTACACTACTTCATAACTGTTATGAATAATTGTTTACTGTTATGAATTATAATATAAATATCTGATATACAAAATATTTGAGAGACAGTCCCCCCGGAGGGGTCATGGCCCACAGGTTGAGAACCTCTGGTCTAGTTCCTTATTTCCTCATTTAACCATTTGCCATCATTTTGCCTGCTCCCTGTAGGCTGGAATACAAATTTGGAGAATTTGGAAACTATTCCCTTTTGGTACAGCCTGCTTCCAGCGGGGCCAGTGAAATTGACTGTGACGTCGTTGTTAATGATAATCCAGTCGACAGTAACCTTCGTAAGTACATGTTCCTTCGTTGGTTTCTTAAGTTTGGGTTTTTGAAGGTTTCAGTCTCGTTGGTCCTGACACTTCATGGTGTGTCCTTTAATTTACAACTGTATATTATCTATTTCTGTCATTTGTTTATGGTACAGTTGTAGTTTTCTTCCTTTTTGGTGTTGGCAATTAAAGTCAGGACCTCATACATGCTGAAGCATTTGCTCTAACACTGGCCTATAAGTCCAATCCCTGTTTGATTATTTTTAGTGCGTATACTAAGAAAATCAGGTGATGTAACACCATATTTCGATATTGCTAGGCTTACTTACAAAGCATACAGTTTTATAAAGTCAACAGACTGGAAAGAAACTGGAAGTAGGGCAGTTAACTTTCTTGTTGGGGACTGAGGGCACACATAGCGTTTCCTGTGAACCTCGTCAGTGACAGTCAGCTGATGTTCCCTTATGGTGAGGGGCATCTTTCATTCACCTACAACTCTGTGCAGAATGTCTGTCACCTTGAGCCCTCTCTAGATATTACTGTGTGTGACGCTCTTTAAGGGACAGCAAGGAATCTTTGTGGCATTAATAAGTCTACGGAAAGCTGAGTGGTGTTACTTTAAAAGAATGTAGAGCCAATACCGAAGGGCCATTGGGGGAGCAAAATAACTGGTTAAAAGAATATTGAGGCTTAGCAGGATGGCTCAGTGGGTAAAGGCACTTGGCACCAAGTCTGAGGATCCAGTTCAATCCCTGAATCTCACATGGTAAAGAGACTAGACTCCTAAAAGTTGTCCTGATACCTTTGCATGCCCAGTGGCACACATGTACCCATACATACACACCAAGACTGAAAAAATGTAAAGACAGCAAAAAAGCAATGAATGTCACTAGTGAAAAATAACATCTGCAAATGGTATAAAAACTGCAGGGTTATTAGGAAACAAAGAAGACAAAAATAAAAACCATATTTAAGTTGCCTTTGGAGTCACAGGGGCACCTAATATTGACTTGGGTGATTTAAAATTCTCACTTGAGGGCCAGCAAGATGGTTCAGTGGTAAAGGTGCTTGCTGCTAAGCCTGAACCCAGAACCCATGTGGTTGTTCTGACACCAACTAAACAGGCCTTTGCTAGCTCAGCAAATCTGCTTCACTTGGTCAGCTGCAGGAAGTGCTTCTTCAGTGTGCACATCTGTCACATGCTCAGCAATTGGCATTGCCTCCACAGTCTGAAAGAGTTATTGGTAGCTTTGCATGGCGCTGAGTTTGTAAAGAACAACTTAGGTTTATAGAAATGTTACAAAAAGTTTTCTGAATGCCCTTTATCTGCCTTTCTGTATGCTCTTACACTACGTAATCATTACTATAATTACCCTATATAGAATTATTGGGACCAGGAGCTTAACATTTCTATAGCACATAGACACTATAGATATTTAAACTTCTCAAAGTTGCTGTTTTTAGCATACATTTGTTTATGTACTGTGTTGGCGGGTGCCAGGGTCCACACGTCATGGAGTAAACAGAAACTCTGAGGTTTTGGCTCTTTTCTACCGTGTGGGCTCTGGGCATGGAATTTGGGTTGTCAGGCTCGGTGGATCTAATCTATGGTCCCATGTTGCATTTAGTTGTCAAATCTGCTTTGTCCCGGTCAGAGAAAGATAGTCCCTTGCTTTCCTTTGTCTTTCATGACCTTGATGGTTTTGAAGAGAACTGGCTGTTTTGTAGACTGACCCTGGTAGAAGTTTTCTCCTGGGTCGGTAGAGGTTTTCCATCAGAGGGTAGAAAATTCCGTAAAGAGAGCTGTGTTCTCTTCAGTGCGGCGACCAGACCTTCTCCAGGACTCATACCCACTGTGAACATGGCAAAGGATGTAGAGATGAAGTGACGTGTTGTCTGGGGTTTAAAATACATCGACGAGGGCTGGAGAGATGGCTCAGTGGTTAATAGCACCGACTGCTCTTCCAGAGGTCCAGAGGTCCAGAGTTCAATTCCCAGCAACCACATGGTGGCTCACAACCATCTGTAATGTGATCAGATGCCCTCTTCTGGTGTGTCTTAGAACAGAGACTATGTACTCACATACATAGTAAAAGAAATAAAAATCTTAAATAAAATAAAATACATCGACGAAACATGATTTAGTACATAAAACAGAGTGAGTGGTACCGATTTTGTTTGGCTGAAGTTAGAATCCAGGTCCTGGCAAGCGGAGAGTCAGTGCCCTACCACTGAGCTGTATCCCTGGCCCCAAGAGAGACAGTGTCTTAATAATAATAGAAATCTTTAGGAGCCAGGTGGCAGGTGTGCTGTGAGTATATCATGCGGCTCTCCCGCTTCCTCATTCTCCATTGTTCATACAGAGTCTAACGCGAATACGAGCTTAGCTCTTTCCGTTCCAGCGGGGTGATGAATGCCCCTGTAGCTTTGATACTTAAGACGGTGTTCTGGGGATAACGTTCTTCTTTGTCTTCAGCTGTGAGCATCGCCTTCCTTGTTGGCCTAGCCCTCATCATCGTAATATCCTTCCTGAGGCTCTTGCTGAGGTAAGTTGTGGAGAACACGACGGGGAAGCACAGACCCAGAAATGATAAACCCAGGAAGGGGAAGGTGGCCCGCCACTGACCAGTATTCCACCTCAGGACAATCACCAAGAGCAGACACACACAGATGACCGATATTCTCTGTTTTATAGGATTTGTACATCCGCCATGACTGCTCTAGTCCTGGGCATCTGAGCAGACTCTAGTCTCTGACCAAGGGCATGAAGGTGTGAATGGGCGTTTGCCGTCCATTCTCCCACCATGGCTGAAGATGAAGATATTTGTCCTCTGGATTGAGTTTTAGTTAGAAGAGGTGGTTTATAATATCTCTTGAGCCACCCCCTACACAGACACACAACACACACACACACATACATATACACACACACACACTTTCTCTGCTCCCCGCTAGCCCAGAAGTCTGGGGGCTAAGTATAGTACAAAGGTAGCCTGTAGCTCGGGACCTCAGCATGGAGTCCCTTTCCTTGTGTAGAAGCATCTGATTGGAGAAGCCATTTGGGCTTCTCTGCCTGATTAACAGTAACCCTGGGAAGTGAATCAGTAGACAAGAAAAGAGAAATGAAGCAAAATAGATGCAGGCAGGTTTAATCAACTCTCAGATTTAATTATTTTTAAAGTAGTGTGCATGTGTTTGTGTGTCTGTGTATGTCTGTTTCTCTCCCTGTCTGTCTGTCTGTCTGTGTGTCTGTGTGTGTGTCTCTGCAGAGGCCAGAGACGTTGGATTCATTGGAGAGAGAGTAAAGGTTGTTTTGAGCCACCCAGTATGGATGCTGGGACCCAAACTCAGGTCTTCTTTAAGAACAGTATACACTCTTAATAGCCAAGCACCTCTCCAACCCTTTGATTAACTTTAGAAGACAGTTCTTTTGTGTTTTAAAAGGAAGAAGGGTGGCCACAGTGACACACACCTGTAATCCCTACAATTGGGAGGTAGAGAAAGGGGGATCTTGAGTTCACAGCCAGCCTTGGCTCCATAGTGAAATCTGGTCTGAGAGAGGAAAGATGAATGGAAGGACCACAGAATTCACCAGCACCATCCAGGTTGGAAGAATGAAAACAACTTTTATTTGGCTGCCTAGAGGGAGCTCATTCTGACTCGGGGAGCGTTTGAAGTAGTTTCGTTCAGTGTCTGAGAAACCTGACCTTACAGTGGTGAGGCTCACTCGCTGCTTAGACGTGACCACTGGACTCAGCTGCTTCCCAGGAGGAAAGTTCAAGTCCCGAAGTTCTGTTTCTTGGAGGCAAGTGCCATCTTGTCAGTCTTGTGGTGAGATGGAAATGCTGTTCTAATACAGCAGCATGCTTTGCCCTGGTGCTTTCCCTGTGAATGGATCTGTCCCTTCACTTCAGAGTGACAGATAGTTGTGTGACATACTTGCAAGGAGAAACTGGTCATCTTGTCATCTTGGACTCCTCTGGGTCTCCTAGGTGAACAGACTGAATGCTCCAGTGGTGGGGAGCTAAAGGCTACTCTTTGCCCTGTTGTTTCTCAACATACTTGTGTAAGCTCAAGGATGTTATGTGGACCAAGACTCTCCCCCTTTCACTCGGAGAACAGGCAGTCGAAGATGAATGTCTTATTCATTTTTTAAGCATTTCAACTTCTCCATTTTGGTGCTTTCTTGAATGTGTCTATTTTAACGTCTTCACGTGATGGTGGCGTTTACAGCGCTGTGCAGACTAGATTGCAAGTGGAAGATCCTCTGTGTGGGTTACATGTGCACCTGATTTGAACACGAATGAAGAATATCCACGAGCCAGCGAAACCGAGCTGGCTACATGAGGATAATAAGGAGTGTTGCATGATGGGAAAGGTCTGCTTGATGGCTTGAACAGGAAAGGCACTAGCCACCAAGCCTGACGACCTGACCAATCCAAGTTCCATGTGTCAGGAGAGAACCAGCTCCTGCAAGGTGTCCTCTGGCCGCCATTCTTTGGCATGTGCATACCTCCTCCATTAATAAATAAACTTAAGAAAATAAATGTAAAATATGATTATGTCATGATCCTGTTTAGAAATAAAACAGCCTCCCACTTTTACAGATACTGCCGTGTTTATGGATGGGATGATTTTTATGCCTGGGCTTCCTGTAAAGTTATAGAAGGCAGTGAGTCAGGAGGGGGAAGGAAGTTTGGTGAAGTAAGGTTGCCCATGTGTGGATATTTGAAGCTCAATGACTCTCATTGCATTTCTCAAAACATATGGGTGGTTTTGTGGTTTTGTTTTAAGCTTTCGAGACAGGGTTTCTCTGTGTAGCCCTGGCCATCTCAGAACTCGCTCTGCAGACTAGGCTGGCCTCAAACTTAGAGTATCCCCCTACTTCTGTCTCCCAAGTGCCGGGATTAAAGGCATGTGCTACCACACCCAGCAAAAACTGTGTTTAAAAAAATTGTGTGTGTGTTTATGTGTGTGTAGCAGGGACATGCACACTTATGGATGTCAGAAGACACCTCTCAGGGGTCAGTTCTCTTGTAGCATGTGGATTCCTTAGATCAAACTCAGGTTATCAGGCTTGGTGGCAAGCAGTTTTACTTAGTGGGCGATCATGTGGGCTGGAGATCTTTAGAAAGATTTATGCCCAAGTAGAAATCTCATCCTAATGAGAAATCAATGAATGTATTTACCCTTTTGTTGACCATGTAGAAGAATTGGTTTGTTGCCAATGGATGCTCTCTCCGGTGTGGACGTGTGCGTTCGTGTGTAGTTGCACTCACACAGTGTGTTCGTTTTGCTTTGCTATAAGTAATTGCTCATTTCTTTGCATGTCCTGTGGAGTCATTCCTCTGTCTAGTGGTCAAAGTTGTTGCCATGTGCTTGTTCTTGTACCTTTAGCAGTTAAGAACCCTGGTGACAGAGAGCGTGAGGTTGATTTTCAGTCTTCGAGTCTCTATCATTATTTTTATTCTCGGATGAGGGCTGCTAACAAACTTTGATCTCGACTTTCTATTTCTAAATCTCCTTCATAATGTTTATGAACCTTAAGTTATATTTTATTTCAGTATCTAGTCAGTTTGAAAATATTGCCATTCAAGACAGAAAACTAATGGAGGAATTTTTCTTTCTTTCTTTTTTTTTTTTTTTAAATAACAGTTTAGATGATGTCAATAATTGGATTTCTAAGGCAATAGCTTCTCGAGAAACTGACCGCCTCATCAATTCTGTGAGTTACTGGAGTTTACATGTGTTGTCTGGGAGGTTTTCTAAATGTGAATTCATAATTTTCTTTTAGTGAGCATTATTGTCCAGTTTAATACATTTGATTATATTGTACAAGGTCAGACTATATGTCCTGAATGTTTTCCCTATGCTGCTGAATCTAACCCAGGGCCTGTGCGTGCTACACAGACTTTACATTCATGTCCTAAATGTCCCCATGCTGCTGAATCTAACCCAGGGCTTGTGGATGCTGCTCAGACTTTCTACATGCAGTAACGTTCCTGGTCTGGACTTAGATTCTTCTTCCTGTCTGATAACCCCAAGTATAAGCCAGCATTCCATGCATGCTTGCTTGCTTCCCTCCTTCCGCCCCTCCCCCCCCCCCCCCCCCCCCCCCCCCCCCTCTCTCTCAGACAGGGTCATGTGCCTTAGGCTGACCTCTAACTTACTGTGTAGTACATAGCCAAGGATACCCTTGCTCCCCCTCTCGTCCACCTCCTCCTGTGTGCTGAGATTTAAGGCCAGTGCCGTCTCAGTTACTTAGGTGGTTCTAGGAATCAAGCCCAAAGCCTCAAACATGATGGTCAAACATCTTCCCAATTGTCCCAGCCCGCTCACATCTGGTTTTTATTATACTTAATTATTTAATTATTTCTTATTTATGTGTGTGTATAAAAGACACGTGGGTGTGAGTGTGTGTGTGTGCATGTATGTGCTATGGCCTGCACGTAAAGCTCAGAAGGCTACCTTTGGGAGTCGGTCTTTCCCTTCCACTGTGGGTTCTGGGAATCAAACCCAGGTTATGAGGCTCACACAGCTGGCACTTCAGGTTTGGCCATTTTGCTAGCCTTCAAGATGCATCCTAACAAGGAGCAGCCTTGTCCTCAGCCCCTGTGGAGGCCCCAGTCCCCTTTCTCAGTGAGGGTAGAAGTCTGGGCCACCTTAAGATGTACAGTTTTTAATCAGCAGGCAGCCCCATTTGGAAATAAATAAAAAACTGGTGAGATGGCTCAGCAGTTAAGAGCACTGACTGTTCTTCCAGAGGTCATAAGTTCAAATCCCAGAAACTACATGGTGGTTCACAACCACCTGTAATGAGATCTGATGCTCTCTTATGGGTGACTGAAGACATCTACAGAGTACTTACATTAAATAAATAAATAAATAAATAAATAAATAAATAAATAAATACTTTTGGGCCACAGGGAGAGAAGGGAAAAAAGAAAAGAAAAGAAAGAAGGAAGGAAGAAAGGAAGAAAGAAAGAAACTAAATGAACCAGAACATCAGTATTATAAGTATCAATGTCAGTGGCCACTGTGATAATTAAATACACTGTTACATTTGGGCTAAAGTATATAAAGTCTCTGTAACATATTTGTTTCCACGTCTGTTCTGGACTACCCAAGATCCAGTTCCTACCTTATTGTTTCAGTGGGGGGGGGGGGGGACTGAACACATGGTCTCTCACGTGGTAGCAAGCACTCTGTCACTGAGCTACATCTCCAGCCCCAGAACTAGTCCTCTGTCATTATCAGATGACTGCCAGCAAGATCTGCAAAGAACACAAACATGCCAGTGGGGTGGAGAATGAGACCTCAGATGGGGTCCTTACAAAACCCAACTCTTGTTCAAAAACTATTCTTTTCTACTCTAACTTCTTTCCTGGATTATCAGATGGTGAAACTGATTCCTTAGCCCTGTCAAGTATCACCTCTTTCTCCCTTTGCTTGGAAGGAACTAGGATCCCCCAGCAGAGCAGACCCTCTCTGCGCTGATTGCCAACCAGAAACACAGCGTACTTCTGCCCTGCCGTACCGTCTCCGATGCGTGGACACATTTAGGGGGTAAGTGGAGCTCAGCGGTGGGCACCGGCCCTTGTTAGATTTCATAATTACACACAAGCCCATTTTTAGCGTAAGGCGTTTTGCACGTTTTTAATTTTCTAGGCTGGTGTAGTGTTGCACTCAGGAGGCCAAGGCGAAAGGATTGCTGGAAATTCAAGGTTGTCCTGGGATACCTAGCAAGACCCTTTCTAAAAAAAAAAAGTTAAAAACAAAACAAGTAACACCAGAAGATCATTGTCTGGGGATTGTCACGATAAGGGACTGGAGTATAAGCAAAACCCGCCCACCTAGCTTGCACTTGTCACTGAGGTCATTCCCTAACATCACAAAAAGCAGACAAAAAAGGAAACAAAAGGAAAGATTAGCATGGCATTGAGAGAGAAGAGGGAGGGAACACAGCCAGAACTAGTTTCCACAAGTGTAGTGGGTAGTTTAGTTAGTAGTCTGGGCAAGTGGCCATGTTCGGGACATAAGGCCCACTTTCACCCTTTGCTGCTAGAACCCCTGGAGTAGTAACAAGCCCCCTGGCAGCAGCTCTACAATCAGGGGCCATAGTTTGTCACGCTGTACTTCTGGTAGAAGGGTGAAGGCTAAACTCTGAAAAAGCAGATTCACGAATAGCCAAAAATAAAACACACAGTGTCTGTTCTTCCATCTAAGGGAACCCTGCAGTTCCTTCCGAGCATCGGGAGTCTTGGGTACCCCCCTTTGGATATGTGGGAGCCAGTTCAGGTGCTTGGATAAGCTTCCCCTATCCAAAACGCTTGGAGCCAGAAGCGTTTCAGATTTCAGAGTTAGAATATTAACCACGAGAAAGCTTGTGGGTGGGACCCAGGTCTAAACACAAGCTTAGATTTCTTACCTGTACCTCACATGCATGACATGAAAGTGATTTTAGGCAGGATTTTAATGTGCCTGGGGGGGGGTTGTTTATTTGTTTTTGTCTTGTGTTTTTTTTTTTTACTTTTGGGGGTGGGAGTGAGGCATTCTGGGATTTAAAACTGGGCTCCACACCTGGTAAGTAACCACTGCTTCACCACCGGCCCAGTTCCTGCATCTTTGCTTGAGCTGACATTTTCCACCTGTGACTTTGTGGACACAGTTGGTATATTAGTACATTTCAGATTGCAGGTAAAACCCATCACAGTATGCAGAATTGACAACAAGCCTGTATTTCCCCATGCTGCTGCACCTCTAACATGTCTTACTTGAACACTTAGAAATACCATTGGAATGTGCTTTTAATGAGCGTGCTTCACGGATGGGAAAATAGAGTCACTGAGCTAAATAACTCAGCCACTCAGTTGCTAAGAAGGAGAGACAGGCTACTGTTGTAGGTGGGTCACCGAGCACAGCAGGTTGCTAAGTGTTCCTTCTCAGCTTAGCAGCCAATGGTAGCCTGTTCAGAAGCCATTTTACTGTATCTTTTTCTTTCCTGTCACCATTGACACATGGAGATAAGAAGTTCATAGGTAAACAGAAACTAACATTAAATACTTAAGACTCGCCTACTGAGACAGCAAGACTGGAGCTTTGAATCCTCAGTTTAGTGAGACTCATGACAGTAAACCTGAGACATCTGAAATAATTAACACAAAGTTGTGTTACTGGAAACACATTACTTTGTTTTCAGATCCTAAAATTTAGTTGGGTAGTATGAAGTTTTCTTTAAAATAGCTGTGTGTGGGTGTGTGTATGCTCGTGGGTGTTAGCTGTGGTTTCCTGGTCATGGTGTCCCTGTGGAGTTGGAAGAACAGCTTACAGAAGTAATTCTCCCCTTCTACCATGTGAGGCTGGGGTCTTCAGGCTTACAGTAAGTGCCTTTACCAGCTAAGCTATCTTGCCAACCCAAGTATAAAATTTTCTGGACATACTGTGTTAGATAAAAGTGTAGGCTGAAGACCATCATTTTGTGTCCCCTCGTAGTGAGCACCAGGTGATCATATCTCACTTTAAAATTTTCTACTTGTGTCATGATCTGCCCTGTGGAGTCACATTATCACGCGATGCACCTTGTGTGGAGCGTGTCTGTACTTGACGGCCGTCGTTACATCGTCCTCTCTTTGTTTACCTTGTAGGGTAGCTCTCATCCTCATGGTCTTCGTTAATTACGGTGGAGGAAAGTATTGGTACTTCAAACATTCAAGTTGGAATGGTAAGACACTTCCCACAGGTAGCATTGCTTATAATACACCAGCCCTCTCCCCAGAGAACTGGAGGTTAGCGGAAGACTTGGCATCCCCCTGTGAGCACTCCACCAGAGCCCTCCCAGCCTGCTTAGAACCACCTTGGCCTTACTCGGGGCCCTTTGGTTTGATTCTTCAGAGGATCTAGAGTAACTCTGGATTTTTCTGCTGTGGGACTGTGGGTCTCCACGGGGAATGTAAAGACTTGGTTTTACGCAATGATTGGTACAGTTCAGGTAGTAGAACAATGGTATTCTGGGGGGGTCTAGGTCTACCTTCTTAAGACTTACAGTCTTTCTTGGGGTGCCACTCAGGAAGATTATTCTGAGTGGCACTCAGTAATAGCTATGAATCTGGATGGGTAGTTGGCTGGATAGTGGATATTTTAGAACCAGGAAAATGACACAGAATACAGACATGGACTTTTGAGAAATTTTAGTTGTTTTTATCCTAACCAGACCATACCTGCAGAAGCCTCTAGAAGAGAGTTGGCACCCAGATTCCATATATTGATGATGGAGTCTGTTGCTGATGCAGCTCAATACTCAGACCTGCAGTCCAGTTGGTAGTAGAACATGAGTTGTTTTAAAGTGTTTATTTAAAACACGAGTTATTGCTTCTTGACCTCTTGGCTAAGGCCAAGTATAAAACAAGATTCATCAGCTGGCAAAATGGCTCAGCAGGTGAAGGCGCTTGCGGCCAAGCCTGACAGCTTGAGTTCAATCCCCGAGACCCACGTTGTGAAAATGACTCCTGCAAGTTGTCCCCTGACCTCTACTCATGCCTCCCGACCCATAAGTTAAGTAATTAATAACTGAAAATTTTAAAACAAGAGTTCTATCTCCCATTCATGTCTAAACACCAGATTCTCTCTTGTGTGGCTGAATATTTTCAGTTATGTTCCATGTTGGACATTCTGGTAGAAGACGTGGAGTGTCTGGTGGAAGGAGAGAATAGATTTTGATTAGTATTGATGGAAGGTCATAAACCTGTCCACAGATCTCTAGTTTTAACCTCCATGAATGGTTTATGGTCAGGAACCTCCCCTGGCCCGGTCAGGCCCAGTGACTGTGTAGGGGCTCCTGTCTGTGTATTGTACTCTGGGTAAATACACAGCAAAGTGTACACATTTGCAACTGGGAAGTATTTATAGTCTAGAGTCCTTCTTACTGTTTGTTCTTGTGTTGTTTTACAGGACTGACTGTGGCTGACCTCGTCTTCCCATGGTGAGCTGACGATATATTATAAGGGTTATTATATACATTAGTGATTAACGCCCATCACCAATAATGCACTGGTGTTGAATAACAGAAGGAGGTAAAAGCCTTCCCCTTGGAGTCCAAATTTGAAGTCTCTATCTCAGTGCTACATGCCTTCCATCTCCTTGTCTGTCTGTTTTATGATTGCATTTCTGTCTGCATGCTGTGTGTCACTCCAACAAAGTGCTTCTCTCTACATTTATTGAACAGCACAGAAAGCATCAATGGGAAAGGACAAGAACACTTTACAGGAATCTCGAACAGAGTTTTACAAGGGATTAAGTCACTGGCTCCAACTGATCCAGACCACAGCAGTATTGTTTATCCACCAGTGTCTATAAAACTGATTGTTTTCAACCTTTATGGTAGATTTTTGGAAGTGGATCTCAACTTCTGTATCTGCTGCTTTTGGCAAATGATACACATGCGTTATCTGCACCGGGGGAATGGAAGAATATTAACCTAAGATTAAAACTATGCATTAGCTTAGGTGGTATGGTTGATGACTTGGGAAATCCAAGGAAACACGGGTAGATTCATATTGTTCTCTTAAAGGTCAATGAATCAAGCAGGCTGCGCACACAGTAGAATAACAGTCTTAAATGACTTCAAGGAGTATTAGTAACCCTGGCTATGAGGCCCAGCAAAAGTTCTAGTGTCCTAGAATATCAGAGGTGTTTCACAATATTGCATCGGCATAGCCTGTCATCCATTCCTCCACACGTCTCTTGTCCTATGTCTGTGAAAGACTGGAGCCTCTGTCTGTGACCTATGAGCTAGCACTGATTGTTGTGAAGCCCTACTGTAAGTTGTGTTACTGGGCATTTCATACACTTGACGTCACATTTATGCCTATGTCCATCAAAGATATTTGGTATCTCTATGTCTGCGTGAGATTGAAACTAAGATCTTGTGCCAAACTGTAGCCTCAGCCTCAAAGGTGAAAGTTTTCATAGGAACATCTTGTTAGAACACGTATCCTCTACTTGATGCTGAAACTCTACCACAAGTTCTGAATTTATAGTCAAGTTCTATAAATCTCCTAAATATGTGTAAATCATAGCTCTTAAAAACAGGTACAGTAAATTGGCCTCTGTGAATATGGATTCATACATAGTGGGAAATGAGAGATGCAAATAAGACAGTGTAGAAGTGGAGAGGACACACTCGCCACCCGTGGGTTCTTAGTCTTGCCGGGGCATATTTCTCGTCTGAGACGCCACTCGTGTTCACTCTGATGCTCCGAGCAACTTTGGTGCTCCATCACCAGAGACGGTTCCCAGACAGTGGTTGATATGTTGGGACTCTGGTCTCTTATTACTACCATAGGTCAGGGTTTGGGGAGAGATGTTTGGTTTTTTGAGAGAGACCTGGATAGGGCACTTATTGTTTGCTCAAGATCTGGTAATGACTTCAGCATGCTGTCTGCAGGCTCCTCCTGTTACTGTCCTGTGAGCAACTGACTCTGAAAGGGAAGCCAGAGGATGCTGGGAGTCAGCCAGAGCAAGCCACGCTTCCCTAATCCCTAGTCAGTAACTAGGAAAAGTACACTGTGGTGTGTCAGTTACTTTCTCCTCGCTGGGACAAAATATCTCACGGAAGGGACTTAGTGGAAGAAGTTAATTTAGCTCAGGGGTGTGTAGCAGCAGCGGAGCAGGAGGCAGCTTGCTCCCAGCCAGACCGGAAGCAGTGTCTACGGGCAGGAATAGGGGCTGCACCAGTCCTCTAGCGCCACCCTTCAGCCCTGTGATGGCCAAGTTGTCTCATTTCCAAAAGGCCCTATGATCTCCTAAAACACCAAATGGGGACTGACTTTGAACATGCATCCTTACGTTCAGTTTTGGGTTTTTAGGGAGACTTTGTGAGTTTAAAGCAAGGAAAGAGAAATATGTGTGACTCCTACCAGATGGGGAGGGGGGAGGAGAGACGGAGAGACAGAAGGAGGGATTTTTTTCTTCCAGGAGAAGGAATGAGTTTCTAAAAGATGGGATGTTTTCTTTCTGAAGGACTTTGCGTGCTAGTGCAAGCCCCTTGCATCCCAGCATCTATAGCCGTCCTCTCTGACAGCTGCTTGGAGGGCTGTCCTTTGGAGTCCCACCAACTATTACCCAGTTTTCCTCCTATAACAGGACTCGAAGATGTTCTGTCAAAGCTCCCAGCCAACAGGGCTGTGTTTGGGCCCCTCCTGTATTATATGAGCCTGACACTTGAATTGGCTCTGGTGGACGGATGGTGTGTCACCCCCCTCCTGTGTTATAAGATTTGGCCACCCACCAATAGCCTTTCTTTTTAGGTTTGTCTTTATTATGGGATCTTCAATTTTCCTGTCAATGACTTCTATCCTACAACGAGGATGTTCAAAACTCAAACTGCTGGGGAAAATTGTGTGGAGAAGTTTCCTGCTGATCTGTATAGGAATTATCGTTGTCAACCCCAATTACTGCCTTGGTCCATGTAAGTAGCTCTGGCCCGTTGTTAGTGTATGTCAAGTTGAACTATGGAAAAGACTTGTTTTATATGTATGTGTGTGTGTGTGTATCCATTATGTATGTATATATATGTATGTGTGTATATGTGTATATATATATGTGTGTGTGTGTGTGTATGTATGTATGTGTATATGAGTGTGTATGTGTATATGTATATATATATGTGTGTGTGTATATGTATGTATATATATGTGTGTGTATGTATGTATATATGTATATGTATATATGTGTGTGTGTATGTATGTATGTATGTATATATACATGTGTGTATGTATTATGTATGTGTATATGTGTGTATGTGTCTATGTATATATGTGTATGTGTGTATATGTATGTATATATGTGTGTGTATGTATATATGTGTATATGCATGTATATATGTATGTATGTATATATGTGTATATGTATGTGTATGTATGTATGTATATATACATGTGTGTATGTGTGTGTGTGTGTGTGTATTTTCCCCCAGTGTTTGGGATCAAACCCAGGCCCCTGCACATGCTCAGCAAACTTTTTGCCACTGAGCCCCACATGTCCTCATCTGATGTAATTCTTCCAACTCAGCCCCTCCCAGCAGCTCAATCATTAGAAGAGTACCCTAACTGCTTGTGTATCATTGGCTACTATCGTACTTAGCTTGGCATTTTAGTACTGGGAGGCACTGTTGTGACTACTCCAATTCCTGCGACATAAAGGTCAGGCTGAGTGAGGTTGAAGTTGTGTATCTGACCTCAAGCCACATGTGACAATTTACTTACAAGCAAGAGATAATGTCTCCCCTTCAGGAGACAATACTGTCTTGGGGTAAGATGCGTCCTGCTGGCTTAGCCTAAGGTGACTTGTGTCTTTGGCAGTGTCTTGGGATAAGGTCCGGATCCCTGGTGTCCTGCAGCGGTTGGGAGTGACGTACTTCGTGGTTGCTGTATTGGAGCTCTCCTTCTCGAAGCCTGTGCCCGACAGCTGTGCCTTGGTGAGAAGCTTACGTGTGTCTGTGGAGGGAGTGGTGGTGAGGGGGACGTAGCTGGAGGACAGCCTTGAGGGTCATTTATCTGATGCTGCTCACCTTCCTTTTGAGTTAGTCTCTCACTGGCCTAGAACTCTCTGGGTAGGCTAGACTGCCTAGCCGGTGAGTCCTAGGGACCCTCCTTTATACAGGTCATTGGGATGGAACTGAAGTCCCCTATTGATCCACCTGTCCTCTCATCCCCAGAAATTGTATTTTTTAAACAACAGGACAATTCACAGTACAGTTTTCTGAATCCTTAGACTGCATAGTCTATCGCTGCACTTCTGTCAGTGAAATACTTTTTCCTGTCTCCATTAATTGCTTCTTTTTTTTTTTTTTTTTTTTTGAGTCAGTGAGGCAGGATCTCACTATGTAGACCAGGCTAGGTTTGAACTCATAGAGTTCCACTTGCCTCTACCTCCTGAGTGCTGAGATTAAAGGCATGTTTCACCACACAATACTCTTTAGTTTTTTTCTCTCTTGATGCTACTAAGGACTAACCCAAGGGCCTCGTGTAGCCTAGACCAGCCTCAGACTCAGTATGTCGCTGAAGGTTGGCCTCCTGATTCACCTGCTTCCACCTCTCAGGTGCCACTGTGCCTTGCATTATTAGATCAGTGTGCATGCACACACTCCGTGTGTACTAGTGTGTGCAGATGAGAACAGCCTTGGGTGTCGTCCCTTGGGTGCCATCTACATTTTCTTGTTGAGATTGGTCTGGGCACAGCCAAGTGGGCCAGGTTTGCTGGCCAGTGAGCTCAGAGAGGTACATTGGGATTACAGGATCATAACCCACACCAGCCTTCTTGTGTTTGTTCTGAGGATTGAATTGAGGTCCTCATGCTACCTCTGAACTATCTCCTCAGCCAGATATATATACATATATATACATATATATGTATATATATATATATATATATGTATATATAGAGAGAGAGAGAGAGAGAGAGAGAGACAGAGAGACAGAGAGACAGAGAGAGAGAGAGAGACAGAGAGAGAGACAGAGAGAGAGACAGAGAGAGACAGAGAGAGAGACAGAGTGAGAGACAGACAGAGAGAGAGATTTTATTCTACTATAAATGATCACTGGCTGTTTCCCAGACTCTCTTCACTAGTGGTATACTTGCCTCTCACCCAGGAAAGAAGCTGCTTCTCTCTCCGAGACATCACGTCCAGCTGGCCCCAGTGGCTCGTCATTCTGATGCTGGAAAGCATTTGGCTGGCTTTGACATTCTTTTTACCTGTCCCTGGGTGCCCTACGTAAGTGACCCTCTTGCCAGGTAATCCCTTTGTGTGTATGCTCCTGTTTGTGTGTGAGAGGGGGTGCATGTGTGTGCATGTATGTGCATGTGTGTGCATGTGTGTGCATGTGCATCTAAAGGCTCACAGTATCAAGTTTATTCTTTCTTTCTTTCTTTCTTCTTTCTTTTTTCTTTTTTTTTTTTTTGAGACAGAATTTGCCAAGTAGCTTTGGCCAATGAGTCCAAAGGATCCACCTGCTGGTATTACAAATATGTACCACCATCCATAGCTTTTTTTAAAAAATATATAGTTATGTGTATGAGTGCCTGCATGTGTATCTGCATGCCGTGTGCTTGCAGTGCCCTTGGAGGCCAGAGGAGGTGTTGGATCCCCTGGAACTGTAACCTCCATGTGGGTTCTGGGAATCTAACGCTTGTGCTCTTAACTACTGAGCCATCTCTCCAGCCCCAGTACATGGCTTGGCTTTCTCTCTGTGTGTTTCTGTCTCTGTGTGTCGCTCTCTGTCTCTGTCTCTCTGTGTGTCTATCTCTGTGTGTGTGTCTCTCTCTGTATCTTTCTCTGACTCTGTCTGTTTCTGTCTCTAATTCTATCTCTGTCTCTGACTCTCTCTCTGACTTTCTCTCTGATTCTCTCTCTGACTTCCTCTGTCTGTCTGTCTGTCTGTCTGTCTGTCTGTCTCTCTCTCTCTCTCTCTCCCTCTCCCTCTCTCTGTCTCTCTCTGTGTCTCTTTCTCTGACTCTCTCTCTCTCTCTCTCTGAGTCTCTCTCTCTGTTTCTCTCTCTGTTTCTCTCTCTCTCTCTCTCTCTCTCTCTCTCTCTCTCTCTCTCTCTCTTTCTGACTCTCTCTGTGTGTCTCTGTCTTAGTTAGGATTTTACTGCTGTGAACAGACACCGTGACCAAGGCAACTCTTATAAGGACAACATTTAATTGGGGCTTACAGATTCAGAGGTTCAGTCCATTATCAAGGCAGGAGCATGGCAGCATCCAGGCAGGAAGAGCTGAGAGTTCTACATCCTCATCTGAAGGCTGCTAAGTGGAAGACTGACTTCCAGGCAGCTAGGATGAGGGTCTTAAAGCCCACACCCACAGTGACACACCTGCTCCAGCAGAGCCACACCTTATAGTAGTGCCACACTCTGGGCCAAGCATATACAAACTATTTCTCTCTCTCTCTCTCTCTCTCTCTCTCTCTCTCTCTCTCTCTCTCTCTTGTCTCTCTCTCTCTCTCTCTGTCTCTCTCTCTGTCTCTCTCTGGTTGATCAAACTTGGGTCCTCGTGGTTACAAAGCAAACACTTTCCTGACTGAGCTATCTCTCCAGTCGTGATAGTTCCTTTCTGCATGTCTCTTTCTGCTGAGTCAGTGGTAAGGTTTATAGCACTGAAGAGGAATTTTCTTTTACACTTCATTGTCCTTTGAAGCTCTCTTTCCACTGAGAGGAGGGTCGAGTTGTCCCAGCATCACTCTGATGTAGACCTGCGTCCCAGTGCTGGGAGCCTCTCTCTGGCCAAAGAACACTAAGTTCAGGGGCTGGGGGTGCTGGAGGCCACTTTGTGTGTGAGGCTGTTTGAACCCTGCTGCATGGCCAGCCACTGCTCTGCAATCCTGTCATTTAAGTATGTTTTTTACTTCCCTAGTGGCTACCTTGGCCCTGGCGGTATAGGGGACTTGGGGAAGTACCCTCATTGTACTGGAGGGGCAGCTGGCTACATCGACCGCCTGCTTCTGGGAGACAGTCACCTGTACCAGCACCCGTCCTCCGCTGTGCGTGAGTCTTTCCTTTACTGAGAACTGGGAAGTGGGAAACTAGCTCTATACTATTTAAGGAAAATGTGCTACGAAATCAGGTTTTTTTTTGTTTTTTTTTGTTTTTTTTTGTTTTGGTTTTTCGAGACAGGGTTTCTCTGTGTAGCTCTGGCTGTCCTGGAACTCACTCTGTAGACCAGACTAGCCTCGAACTCTCGAACTCAGAAATCCGCCTGCCTCTGCCTCCCAAGTGCTGGGATTAAAGGCGTGCGCCACCACCGCCCGGCACGAAATCAGTTTTATTTGGAAAACTGGCTGCCTTCATGCCTCAGATGTTCACTACCTGTCGGTAGGTAAAGGCATTTCTGACTGCAGAGTGAAATGAACCATATAAAGCAAATGGAGTTTTAGTTAGCCCTTTAGGTTTCCAGTCCCAGACTCAAGTCAGGGACTCCGGTGCAGGATGTTCGTGGGGTATCCTCACTGGATCCCTGTGAAGAATGCGGGGGGGTGGGGCACTGAACTGCACTATGGGTAATCTCTGTGTCTCTGAAGAGGCACTGGGTGAGGGGTGGGTCCCTTATGGTCCTGGAGGTCGGCTGTCTCCAGCACAGGAGTGACTTAGAAAGGCAGACCAATCCCCACACTTTCGTTTCTCTTGTTTTATATTGTGGGATCCAGCTTAGGGCTCCGGGAGCTGTATGCTTACAGTGTGTGCCCTGCATGAAGTATGTGACAGAGACCTTCTGGCAGTATTTCTAGTACTTGCAGGATGAATGTTTCAGGCCTCAGAAAGCTTGACAATCTGGGTGGTGCTAATACACTGCACACTTCCAAAGTTCTGGTCTCTTTTTTATATTAAAACTACAAATGTTTTATTTTAATTGACTTTGCTTTTTATTTTGCTTTGGTTTTGTTTGCATGCTAGTGCTTAAACCGTGGGTCTCCTATGTGCTAAGCATGCATGCTACCACTGGGCCACTCCCCCTTCTCAAATGGATTATTAAATGTTATGTGCCCAAGAAGAAGGTTGGGAACTGTTGATGCTGCAGTGGGGTTTGCTAAATCAGAAAAGCGTGTGCAGTCCCAGTCCTGTTAGAAAGAAAATGAAAAAGAAGGGAGGGAGAGAGGGAGGGAGGGAAGGAGAGAGGGAGGGAGGAAACCAGGAAGCATCAACTATTGGATTGTATTCCAGTTTGCGTTCTGCCTTGCATTTCTTTTTGTGTTCAGCGAGTGACTGACACCCTCTTTTCTGTCCCCTTAAGGTGCTGTATCACACAGAGGTGGCCTATGACCCAGAAGGAGTCTTAGGGACTATCAACTCCATTGTGATGGCATTTTTAGGAGTTCAGGTATCTGTTCATTTCCTCAGGATAACCCTTCTGACAGTTGGTGACAGCTGCAAACAGTGTATTGAGGGGCCATCCGCTGCCCTCCAGGTCTGGTGAATTCTGTTTAGGACTGAGATTATGCAAACTAGTGTGAGATAGGTCAGCAATTCAAATGACTAGCTGGATCCTGACATTCTGGAAGCTAAGTTCTTACTAGTTGTAGGTTCATGTTAGCTTGTCTCCCTGTGTTTGTTTATGTTGCTGCAACAAAACAGCTGAGACTAACTCAGAGACAGCAATGTTTGCTTCTCAGGCCTAGGCTCAAAGTGCTGCCAGTTCCTTTTCAGGCAGGGGTCCAGAGTGCAGCCTGTGGAGGGCTGAGCACTGTGTCCACACATCGCTTACAAGGGTGCAAATGCTGGACTTGCTATCCCAAGCCCTTTGTAAGATCATAAAATACATTCATAAGTGCGGAGATCCACACTGGTTCCAGAAGGACCAGATCTCCTTCTGAGTTTTCACTGTATGAACTTAGGAAAGACACAGACTTCCATCTACAGACTTCCATCCATAGCTAGCTATGTAAGCAGCTTTAGAGCATGCATGTGTGTCTTATACCCCAAATCAAATCTGGTTAATCTTTTTTTTTCCCCTTCCATTCTCCCTCTTGCTCCGGACCCCCTCACTCCAGGTCCCCTCACTCCAGCCCAAAGTACACTGTAGCTGTCTTCAGACATCCATATGAGGGCATCATATCTCATCAGGGATGGTTGTGAGACACCATGTGGTTGCTGGGATTTGAACTCATGACCACCCAAAGAGCAATCAGTGCTCTTAACCGCTGAGCCATCTCTCCAACCCAAATCTGATTACTCTTGGTGTCCCACATATGCACTTCTGTTTTGGTTCAGAGCAGTCTAGATTTCTCTATGCAAAGTTGTCCTTCCTGGCGTTTGAGTATATTCTTTGAGGGGAGCAAAGTGGAGAGCAGAAAGGAGTCTACAGCAGGCCAGAGAGAACATTCTGTGATGGAGAGGGCATCCTGACCATGCAGGCAGCCATTGCAAGGAGTCTGTGGAGTACTTCGTGTGACTGGAGTATGACTCAGAACCTCAGTTTTCATTTTACTTGATTTAAAATTTAAATGTCCACACATAGCTAGTGGCAGGCAGTCCTGTTAAGTGGTACAGATCTCAATGTGTACAGTTTGGGGATTCAATAATTTTCCACTAATGGGTCAACACCCTGCCTCTATTTCTGAGGTGCTTAGATTCTATTTTATATATATTCATCTACTCTCTACGCACACTGTAGGCAAACCTCAGCCTGCTAGAGCAGTTGGGTTAGTGTGGGAAGGTTTAGGTACAGACCCACAGCTGCACTGTGTGGATTTGTGTCTAGCTCTCTCATGTGAGGCTGGGTGATGTCTTGGTGTGTCTAATTCCAGAGGTGTTACAAGGATGAAATAGGCCAATTTATACAAAACCCCAAGAACTAGCACATAGGCAATACTCTTACATTTTAGCTATTATTATAAATTAGTAACACTGTATCCTTTGATACTTTCAAAAAGTTTCACTCTAGTTCAGAGAGATTTTTGTGCAGTGTCCTGTCTGCATTTTTTAAGTTTTCCCTACACCCAGTTCTGTTTTGCTCCTTTGCATCCTGGGTAGTGTTGCCAGACCCGATACTTTGTAGCCAGGCTAGTCTGACCTAGTTTCTTCTCACCTAAATGGGTGTTACTGAAAACACCCTGTTACCTGAATTTCCATCCTGTTACTATGATAAAACTCTCTGTCAGAAAGCAATTTAGGGGAGGAAAGGGTTGTTTCACTCACAGGTCACAGGCCTTCTTTGAGGCAAGTGAGGGTAGGCACTCAAGGAAAAGCCCTGCAGGAGTGCTACGCCTGCTGCCTCACTAGCCTGCTGCCTCACTAGCGGGCTTGCGCATGCTCAGGCAGCTCTCCTATACATCCAGAAGCACTTACCCAGGGATAGTGCTGTCCACAGTGGGCCCGACCCTCCTGTATCAATTAGCAATGAAGACACAGACACACCAACAGACCGATGTGATCTGAGCAGTTTGTCAATTGAGGTTCCCTTTTCCTAGGTGACTTTAGCTTGTGTCTAGGATAAGGGGTAACTTTCCTGGGCTCCCCAAAACCTCTGGGAGAAAGCCCCTGATCTAAGTGAGACCTGCTGAGCCTCCCGACTACCCTGTTATTTCACTTCTCAACCTACTGTGGCGCTCTTGTGCTTCACATGTTTCTCTGTGTGCTATCCCCCCTTCAGCCGGGATGTCCTGCCTGCTCTGATGCTCTCCCACTTGTAGCTCCAACACTACCTATGTGATGTCCACTTCTGTATCACTGGTCCCACGCTTCTCCCCAGTCTCCACCAGGGCAGAGGGGTCAATTTGCATTCCTCTTTATATCCCCAGAGTCTAGAACATGTACTTTGCAAATAACTCCGTGTGCTGGATGCTTATGTTGATGAAGAGAGAAACAAGAATTCACCATAGGTGACTGACTCTCTTGGTCATATTGTTTTCATCCCCAGGCAGGAAAAATACTGTTGTATTACAAGGATCAGACAAAAGCCATCCTGATCCGATTCGCCGCCTGGTGCTGTATCCTTGTAAGTAGCCAGCCTTCCTTACTCTGATTGCTGTTCTTAAGGCCAACCCTTGTTTAAGAAGAAATGAGGTGTTGAGCAGTCACTGGCTCAGCATGACGGGGAACAGTTGACTAGAAAAACAGGATTCACAGAACAGCATCTTTTAAACTTATTTTTATTTCCTGAGCCTGGAACCCAGGGCCTGGTATGTGCCCAGTACACACTCTGCCACTGAGCCACATTCCTAGCCCCAAGGATGATGTCTTTATATCTAAACTCAGGCTTATTTTCTTAGAAAACTATATTACATAAATAAATAGCATAGTGTTCGCTATCAAACACTTGAATGAGGATTACTAGAGAAAACGTGTAAGAGAGGCTGGCAGTGGTGGTGGTGGCGCACGCCTTTAGTCCCAGCGCTTCGGAGGCAGAGGCAGGCGGATCTTTGAGTTCAAGGCCAGCCTGGTCTATAGGACAGGCAAGGATACACAGAGAAACCCTGTCTCAAAAAACAAAAACAGAAAACACAGAGAGAGAGAGAGAGAGAGAGAGAGAGAGAGAGAGAGAGAGAGAGAGAGAGAG